TTAACCGCGAAGAATTGTCTTGTGTCGCTCAATAACACAGAATAATGAAAACTTCTGTTATTATTTTCAGCCATCGATACTTCCTCCTTATAACCTAGACCCTGGTCCCACAACACACACATGGCCATCTAGATTTTTCCGTATTTCTCTCGGCATCCATCTTCCTCGTTAATAGCGATCGCTCTCTGATATTATGGCCACGATTTTCATCTGAAGTGGCTATCCGAAGGAACCTCAATTGTATAATGATACAACGTTGAGTGAAACAATTACAATTCCTTACAATGGACCCATTTCTAAGCGGTATTCACGACACAAAAGAAGAAGAAGAAGAAGAAGAAGAAGAAGAAGAAGAAGAAGAAGAAGAAGAAGAAAACAACCAATTGATGGGTTAGGTTGATCTTTGACCATACTCTTATTATCATGGCTAATGTCTGCAGATGTTTTTCTCTCTTTTATAGGTAATTTGCTTGTTTTTCTTTCACACTCTTGAGAGAATTGAATTTCAATCTGGGAACAATTTTCGAAGAATTTTAGTCGATTTAAATAATAAAAAAAATTGTTGTTATCTCAGAGAAAGGTGAACTTGTGCCCGTGGAGCAGACGCTATCGCAGGTATTATTGATACACAGTTTTAGTTCCTCCTGAGGGTGTGTCTGCGGTTGTGTGCGTATATATGTTTTTGTAGTTGTGTTATTGTTTGTGCATTTATAGCTGTGTTGATAATTTTCTGTATGTATATGAGTATGAAGTTGCGTATGAGATTATATGGACGTGTGACCGAGTGGTTAGAATATTCTCTTTCTGACGATGAGACTCAGGTTCAAACCTTGCGAAGATCAATTTGTCTTGATACTATCGGGTAAACGGTGCTGTTCAAACTCCATCGATGGTTGCGCTGGCCCGAGATTACAAATCATCGTGAGCGAATCATGAGACTCAGGTTCAAACCTTGCGAAGATCAATTTGTCTTGATATTATCGGCTCGTGAAGGTGATCATAGGGTCTTGCGTTCTGTGTCATCGCCGGGTCCCGAAGCAACTACATAAAAAGGTATCAACGAAAATGCCATTTCCTTTCCCTCATTCGTTTTATTAGGAGAGAGTGGTGGTAGCTGGAAATCTAAAAGCCAGCCGGATGAATGACGTCACAGAAACTCATGTCGCACGTGCGCTCAGCGTCCTTCCGCGGGTGGTCTTAATGGGTCTCTCAACCTGGGTGTGGGAGGCGTATCGACCCTTCAGAATTCTTGCGGCCTTCTATTGAATTCGCGGCTTTTTGGACTTTTATATAAAACCCAGACAAAGGCCATCCATCCATCGAATATCACGCCCTGAGACATTCTGGCTTCGCTGCCTCCGCATTCTGTAACAAGGGGGCGACAGTTTGTGAAATTGATTGAAAACAATAACATGGGTTGACGCATGCCTTGTGAGTGAAATTGGGTAGACGGTGCTGTTCAAACTCCATCGAGGGTTGCGCTGGCCCTAGATTACAATTCATCGTGACCGAGCGTTAGAGCCTGTTGACCTTGTTTGAAATGATTATCGCACCAGATGATGCGTTAGCACACATAAATTGTAACTAAAATTCACTCTAGGTAGTTGCAGGGTAAATCTTAGGTACGCTCTATGGCTATTAGATAAACTCAAATGCGGATTTGCAATAGAGATTGGTTACGATTAGTCAGTCACTATTATATGGGACTATATTAGTCAGCCACTATTATATGGGATTATAGTCAGCCACTATATGGGATTATATTAGTTAGCCACTATTTTATGGGATTATATTAGTCAGCCACTATTATATGGGATTATAGTCAGCCATTATATGGAATTATATTAGTTAGCCACTATTATATGGGATTATATTACTCAGCCACTGTATGGGATTATCTCAGTCAGCCACTATTATATAGGATGATGTAAATAGCGCTTTAATATGTTGATGTATTGGTGCCAGTATTTTTACGTTTGGAACACGGGAGATATAAAGGTGATTCGACTCCATAGAAGTGACGTGGCGAGTTTTGCAGTAAATGTCTGAACTGGCGGAAGTAAAGAATGGAGCGCTCATCTGAACAAGCTTTCAAAGTCTGCAAGTATCTATCCATTTTGCGCGATGTCTTTTCCTTAGCAAGGAATACATTGTGTGTGTTCGTACGCAATTTGTTTTTACAATGATGTTCATTCGGTACAAGACCCTAGAGCCACTCGAGGTAGAGTGTTACAGAGTAAAAGGTACAGTTTATACGGATATGCGGTAAAGATAACGGTTAACCATAGACCCGAACGGGTTAAGATTGTAATGATCAGGGAAGCATCCTCTTGGGAGTCGGTTAAACAAAGCAGCGGTACGTGGCAAGAAGCAGCTCGAATGGAACTTACATCTGACTAATAAAATACGAAGGGAATGAGGGCGGTTCGCTTCAATGCGCGTAGCATGGCGGGTCTTAGCCGTGAAGTCAGAACTAGTGGAACTAAGGAATGCAGTTCGTCTGAACACTTTCCATGGAAATAGCGATAGATGTCACCCAAATAATTTGTTACCCACAACGACGCGGGGACGTTTGTGGACTCTATCAAAATTGGAAAGGGAAAAACAACTCCTATCTCAATATGGCAAAAGTACATTTTGGGCTTGATATGACCCTTGTAAAAGTAAAGGACAGCAGGAGGAGTCAGCTACTTATTGGAGAGCCACATAGAACCAACCATTTCCACTATCTTTAGCGATGGATCGTATGTACGAGTTCCACTTGAGTTCTGGGTTGGGTTTAAGTCCGAATAGGCGCTCAAAGCAAAGGGGCCTCCATAAGAGAACATCCGTTCATCGTGATTGGTGATAGTTCTGGGTACGATCAGCAATGTCATTAGTTTGGTTTTCGAATTTGAAAATACATTATACTTAGAGACAATCGCAGTTGAAGAATTTGCGTAATACGAATACACATGACCACTCGATGCCCGCTTAGACATACAATAATCTTTACAAACTTACATACATGTAGAATTATCTACGGTTTTAATGCACGTCATACATGAATAGTCAATGAGAATTGACCCAAACTAAATTGAAAATACCAATGTTCAGTTTTTGTCTGCAATTTCTCAATCTCTCTAAGATTTAATAAAAGTGAAACATCATAGATTGATATACTTTTCATATTTGTTTTTCACTTTATCACACACATATACATACACACATACATACACATACATACATACATACACACATACATACATACACACACATACACACATACATACGCACATGCATACACACACACACACATATATATATATATATATATATATATATATATATATATATAATTTTAAAAATGCTACACTCATAAAAAAAAAAATAACTCACTCAGAAGGAAAATTCTGAGAGTGCCGCCACAGAAAAATTACCCAAATATTAATCTACGCCCAGGTTTTTTCCCCATTTCACCTTTCTTAAGAAAATTACTGCTCTTACAAACAAATGTACACAACAGATTCATAAAATCAAAAGAAAATGGTTGAATACATCAACACAGATATAATGACAATATTCTCCACACGTGACAAATACTGACGTTATTTTTCAGTTAAAAATATGAAAATAGCGTTTCTCTACATTCCAGTTGCTAGGTACATTCTGTTTTTGTTTTTATTAGTTACTTTATTCAATTAATTTCATTTTCGTATTTTGCTTTGATAAAGTCCACATTGGACGAAACGCGTCAGCAATTACTATTTTTCCTATTGTCATTTTTATTCATAAATATATATATTAATGATAATATTATTAAACTTATCAGACGTTATGAAAAGAATTTACATAAAATAAATAGACAACACTTGTCTATATTATTTAATGAAACGTGTATGAATGAAAAGATGCTGCCTAAATACACACACAATATATATATATATATATATATATATATATATATATTCGTTTGGTGTGAGTGATGGAGTACAAAAACTATCCATTGTACCAAGCTCTTCCGGCCACTTAGTCATTCTCAAAGGTTTTTTGTTTTAGTATTGTTAGTTTCTTTACACGTATTAAATGTTTGAGATGTTTTTTGTTGTTGTTGCTTTCAGTAGGAACGTTTATTCCAAGCCTTCGCTTTTGTGGCACGGCTGGAAAAAATAAAGAAATACTTAATTCAAATCTCCTTGTCCGTCATATTTAACGAAAGATGTTTCAAAGAAAGGTTGCTGCCCAAATATATATTAATCATATCTATCTATCTATCTATCTATCTATCTATCTATCTATCTATCTATCTGTTGTGGATTCCGAGATGAAATCCGGTCTCCAATGAATGACAAACGCAGGAATGAAATATAACAAATAAATGTATTTACACAATAATACAATTGGTAATACAGTTAGTAAATCCAGAAACGCGGTTAGTAGCAATAATAATATATATATATATATATATAGTCTGGTAAACCCAGTCTCGAAGTAGGACTTCCTTAGAGTCTACGTGTTTGTAACTGTGACTTCTACAAGCGGTTACCTCACACTATTACTCTACCTCCAACTCAATCACAATAACTGCTCTCACTACTCTGACTGACTCTGGGTATTTAACGGCAGCAGTCCAAGTACACACTGGTCGAGTCCACTTGTATGAAAAAGGGGTGGACCCCATAACACTATCTATCTATCTATCTATCTATCTATCTATGTGTATAAAGTTTTGTTTAAGATGATGTATTTATTTGATGTATTTTATTCCAGAATCATCATTACTTCACGGACGACACGCAACGCTGATGTTTCAAAACTCAAAAGATAACATCTTGATCAGGTAACAACGCAAATATTCAAAATTCAAAATTATTCCAAACATACTATGCAGGCGTGAAATTTAATTTAATTCCTTTCTTAAAAATGACTAAAGCAAGTCAAAAGCTTGGAATCTTAGCAAGAACTAAACCGAGAGTTTCTTTACAACACAAACATAAGAAATGGAATGAAAAAGAATAAAATCATAGAAAAAGAAAATAGATCAAAATAAAAAGAAAGAAAACGAATACAAAAAAAAAAAAAAAAATCAAACAAAATAAACATAAAAAAAAAGAAAAGAAAAGAAGGAAGAAGTAGAATGAAAAATGAAAACCATAAAAATAAGAACAATGAAAAGTAAAAACGAAAACAATATAAGGAAAATGAAAGTGAAAGCAAAAGAAGATAAGGAAGTGAATGAAATAGAAAAATAAAGAAGAAAATATGAGGGAGAATAAAAAGAAAAAAAGATAGCGAAAAAAGGGAAAAGAAAGATAAAAAGAAAAAAAAACAAAGAAAAGTGGAGTAAAGAAAAAGCATGTAGAAATGACAAAAGAAAGAAAGAAAGAAATAAAGAAAGAAAGAAAGAAAGAAAAATAATGAAGAAGAAAACATGGTAGAACAAGAAGGTGAGAATAGAGAAAGGTTATAAATCGAGCAGGAGAAAGTAGATCAGGGTTGAGGACAAAGAGAATAAAAAAAACGAAAAAAAAAAAAAAAAAAGAAAGAAAAAAAAGAAAATAACGAAGAAGAAAAAACATGGTAGAACAAGAAGGAAAAAAAAAAAAAGAAAGGTTATAGATCGAGCAGGAGAAAAGTAGATCAGGGTTGAGGAAAAAAGAGAATAAAAACGAAAAAAGAAAAAAAAAAAGAAAAGAAAAAAGAAAGAAAATAACGAAGAAGAAAACATGGTAGAACAAGAAGGTGAGAATAGAGAAAGGTTATAGATCGAGCAGGAGAAAGTAGATCAGGGTTGAGGACAAAGAGAATAAAAAACGAAAGAAAGAAAGAAAGAAAGAAAGAAAGAAAATAACGAAGAAGAAAACATGGTAGAACAAGAAGGTGAGAATAGAGAAAGGTTATAGATCGAGCAGGAGAAAGTAGATCAGGGTTGAGGACAAAGAGAATAAAAAAAAACGAAAGAAAAAAAAGAAAGAAAGAAAGAAAGAAAGAAAGAAAGAAAAAATAACGAAGAAGAAAACATGGTAGAACAAGAAGGTGAGAATAGAGAAAGGTTATAAATCGAGCAGGAGAAAGTAGATCAGGGTTGAGGACAAAGAGAATAAAAAACGAAAGAAAAGAAAGAAAAAGAAAAGAAAAAAAGAAAGAAAAGAAAGAAAAGAAAGAAAATAACGAAGAAGAAAACATGGTAGAACAAGAAGGTGAGAATAGAAAGGTTATAAATCGAGCAGGAGAAAGAAGATGAGAAAGGGTTGAGGACAAAAGAGAATAAAAAAAAGAAAGAAAAAAGAAAGAAAAAGAAAAGAAAAAAAATAAAAAAACGAAGAAGAAAACATGGTAGAACAAGAAGGTGAGAATAGAGAAAGGTTATAAATCGAGCAGGAGAAAGTAGATCAGGGTTGAGGACAAAGAGAATAAAAAACGAAAGAAAGAAAGAAAGAAAGAAAGAAAATAACGAAGAAGAAAACATGGTAGAACAAGAAGGTGAGAATAGAGAAAGGTTATAGATCGAGCAGGAGAAAGTAGATCAGGGTTGAGGACAAAAGAATAAAAAAAAAAAGAAAGAAAAAAAGAAAGAAAGAAAGAAAAGAAAAAAGAATGAAAGAAAGAAAGAAAGAAAATAACGAAGAAGAAAACATGGTAGAACAAGAAGGTGAGAATAGAGAAAGGTTATAAATCGAGCAGGAGAAAGTAGATCAGGGTTGAGGACAAAGAGAATAAAAAAAAAGAAAGAAAGAAAGAAAGAAAGAAAGAAAGAAAGAAAGAAAGAAAAAGAAAGAAAAAGAAAATAACGAAGAAGAAAAAAACATGGTAGAACAAGAAGGTGAGAATAGAGAAAGGTTATAAATCGAGCAGGAGAAAGTAGATCAGGGTTGAGGACAAAGAGAAAAAAAAAAAGAAAAAGAAAGAAAAGAAAGAAAGAAAGAAAGAAAAATAACGAAGAAGAAAACATGGTAGAACAAGAAGGTGAGAATAGAGAAAGGTTATAAATCGAGCAGGAGAAAGTAGATCAGGGTTGAGGACAAAGAATAAAAAAAACGAAAGAAAGAAAGAAAGAAAGAAAGAAAGAAAGAAAGAAAATAACGAAGAAGAAAACATGGTAGAACAAGAAGGTGAAAATAGAGAAAGGTTATAAATCGAGCAGGAGAAAGTAGATCAGGGTTGAGGACAAAGAGATAAAAAAAAGAAAGAAAAAGAAAGAAAAGAAAGAAAAAAGAAAGAAAGAAAGAAAGAAAAAAGAAAATAACGAAGAAGAAAACATGGTAGAACAAGAAGGTGAGAATAGAAAGGTTATAAATCGAGCAGGAGAAAGTAGATCAGGGTTGAGGACAAAAGAATAAAAAACGAAAGAAAGAAAGAAAGAAAGAAAAAGAAAGAAAGAAAGAAAGAAAGAAAAAAGAAAATAACGAAGAAGAAAAACATGGTAGAACAAGAAGGTGAGAATAGAGAAAGGTTATAAATCGAGCAGGAGAAAGTAGATCAGGGTTGAGGACAAAGAGAATAAAAAACGAAAGAAAGAAAGAAAGAAATAAAGAAAGAAAGAAAGAAAAATAATAAAGAAGAAAGCGATGTACAAAATGAAGGTGATGATAGAGAGTATCTATAAAGCAAGCGAGAGAAAGTAGATGTACGCGGAGGAAAAAAAAAGAATAAAAAGCGAAAGAAAGAAAGAGAAATAATGAAGAAGAAAGTGAGGTATGAAAAGAAAGTGAGGATAGAGAAAGTTTATAAAATGAGTGAGAGAAATAAGATCGAGGTGATGGCAAAAGAGAACAAAACCGATAGAAAGAAAAAAAGAGAAAGACTGATATAAAGTGAAATAATGAAGAAAGCGAGGTAGAAAAAGAAGGAATAGAATGAATATGAGAACAGAAGATAAAAGTAATGAGAGCGAGAGAGCGCGGTAGAATATAATCGTACGGATAGGGGAAAAAGATAATAATAAAGAAAAGAAAAGAAAAGAAAGAAAGAAAGAAAGAAAGAAAGAAAGAAAGAAAGAATACACCGTGTAGGACAACAGATCATAAGAAATAATGAAGGAGAAAGTGAGGTAGAAAAAAAAGAGATGTTATAAATCGGGTGTCAGGAAGTAGATCGAAGTGGAGGAAAAAGAGAATAAAAAGCAATCGAAAAAAAAGAAAGATAAATAATGAAGAACAAAGCGAGGCTAAAAAAAGAAGGTGAAAAGAAGAGAGAGTCTATAAAACGAGCGAGAGAAAATAAATCTACCTGGAGGAAAAAGAGAATAGAAAGCGAAAGAAAAAGAAAGAAAGACAGAAAAAAAAAGAAGGAAACGAAAAAGAAAGAGAAATAATAAAGAAGAAAGCAAGGTAGAAAAAGGTGAGGATAGAAAAGGGTTAAAAATCGATAAAGAGAAAGTAGAACGGGATAGAGAAAAAAGAGAATAAAAAGCGATAGATAGAAAGAAAAAAAGAAAGAAAGTAAGAAAAATGAAGAAAGCGAGGTACAAAAATGTGACGATAGAGTGAAGCGAACGAAAGTAGATCTACGTAGAGGAAAAAGGGAATAAAAAGCGATATAAAAAAGAGAACAGAGAAATAATGAAGAAAGCAAGGCAGAAAAAGAAGGATCATGGGAGCGGAAGATGATAAACAATGAAGTAGATAGCGAGCTAGAAGCAATAGGCAAGGATAGGACGAAAAAATAATTAAAAAATGGATAGAAAGAAAGAAATAGAAAAAAAGAAATAGAACGATTAGTTGAGATAAAGAAAATAAGGAAAGTGAGGTCAAAAAAAGAAATGAGGATATGAGTGTATAAAATGGCGAGATACATTAGACTTAGGCGGAAGAGAAAGAGAATAAAATATGATAGAAAGAAAGAAAGAAAGAAAGAAAGAAAGAAGGAAAGAGAAAAAGTAGGAATGTTTATTAGAGCAGATGATAAAAATTTATGAATAAAAAAGAGAGGGAAAAAGAAAGAGAAAATAGAAAAATATGACAGAGGAAGAGAAGAAGTATAGAGAAAAGAACAAAGATAAAATGGCGGAAGCAGAGGAGGTGAATTTGGAGAAACAAACACCGCCATAAATGACGTCATCAGTCTTATAACTAGAAAGAAAACAATAGGGTAATGTTCCGGATTGATACTCTTATAGTCTTCTGACCAAAAGAAACTCATAAATAAACATAACGCTGGCGATCCGTGTCGTAATTCTGGTTTGCAGTCTACAATTGTCCTCCATTATAGTGTCCGTCATTATCGCCTCTAGTTGTTACCATTGTCCGTCCTGCACTTATCTCGCTCGGTCTCGTTTTGTCTCGTGTGCTGCGGAAAATGTCCAACAATGCTTCAGCGCATTGTATGGATGAAAAGCCGAGTCTATCAAGTGAGAAAGAAGAGGTCGTTAAAATGAGGTTGGACTCTTATGGTCTTAATTTGGCAAGATATTATCAATACCGGATAGAGTATCTTTGTGACTACAATGTGAGAAGATTATAAGCCTTTGTGCGTGTGTGCATTAGCGTGTGTGCGTGTGTATGTATGTATCTGTGCATCAAATTCTTGTATAAGTATAAATATGCAGGCGGCTAAATATCTATTTACCTATCTGAGATCATAAGTGATTAAGAACTTCAAACGAGACTCAAACCATAATACATGGAAGGGTTCATATATAAAGGGTGTTTCAATAACTTGGACCGATTTTAAATGTGAATTAAGTTGAAGCATCTAATGATTTTTTTTCTTTTACTTTCAGATTTATAGGACATTGGGGCGATATTATTTTTCACACATAATTGTTATGACTTAAATAACATGATCCAATAGAGAAATAAATAAATTTTCACCAACAACACTGATTTATTTAATGTTGACTTTGGAAACACACTTTACACACACACTCTACGCACACACACACACACACACACACACACACACACACACACACACACACACATATATATATATACACACACACTTTACATATATATATATATATTATTAATAGAAATCTTATAAGTATAAGAAACAATACTCGCTCAGAAACCTTATATATATATATATATATATATATATATATATATAGAAGCGAGCATCTGGCCTTCTTCGTAAGCTTCAGGGATACCGTATTACAGGTCGATTATTTGACTTAATACAATCATTCCTGTCAAACTGAAATAAAGGACGTTCTAAACGGGTTCTTCTTCGGCTACTTTATCACGAACGCTGGTGTTCCCCAAGGCTCTATCTTGGGCCCTACACTGTTCCTGATCTTCATCAATGACCTTCCCGATGTCATCAGTTTCCAAGTTGGCATCTACGCGGACGACATCACTATTTACTCCTGCCTTAATAGTAAATCTGCTATCGTTGACAAACTAACCTGGCTGTTGATCTCGAAAAGGACCTTCGATCTGTGGTTGACTGGGGCAGGAAATGGCTTGTAAACTTTGATGCCTCCAAAATGATACTGCTCTTCTTTACCCACCACAGAGAACCCTTCCTGCCTCCCATCACAATGGCTGATTCCCAACTCCTAGAGAGCGCCTCGTTACGCCTGCTTGGCCTCACGCATGACATGAGGTGGAATAAAACATTGAATCAATAGTTTCATCTACCGCATTGAAACTTGGTTCTCTGTGTCGTGCCAGAAAGTTTTTCTCATCTGAGTCCATTCTTCAAATCTATAAATCAACCATCCGTCCTTGCATGGAATATTGCTGTCATATATGGTCTGCTGTCCCCGCTGTAAGTCTCGAGGTACTCGATAAAATCCAGAGATGAATATGCAATATGATAGGTCCTGATGTGGCATCTAGTCTACAATCGCAATCCAACCTAAGTGCCGTGGCGTCCCTCTGTCTCTTCTACAAGTATTTTCACAGCAACTGTTCCGACGAGCGACTTTTGCTGATTCCCGGACTGCATGAATTTAAGCGAGCTACCAGGCTGGTATCTCGGTCTCACCCTTTCACTGTCAAAAAGGTTAAATGTAGCAGTCTCTTATACTTAAACGATTTCTTCTCTCGCACTTCACGCCTGTGGAACTCCCTTCCCCTTACTTGCTACCCCGATGACTATAATCTTCAAATATTCAAGTGTAATCTTAATCAACATGTGACACTCTGAGCTTGTTCCCCGTCCTTCTCTGTATCCTTTCCTCAAACACGCCTCTTTACTCTTGTTCTCAATCCTCTGTAACCCCTTGTGTGATAGTTGCACTCCCGCCTTGCTTGGGGTGAATTGCCTTAAAAACCTTAACAACAACAAAAAACAAACAAACAAAAATATAAACAATATATATATATATATATATATATATATATATATACATGCGCGCACATATACAACTATATATATTGTATATTTAGGGAGTAATCCCTCTTTTATACAAGTCTCGTTAAAGATGGTTGACAGATAACTTCGATTAAGCTTTTTATTTCATTTTCCTTGTGTTTGTCTAAGTGTTTATTTTTCTGGACATAAAATCTGTAAAAATTGTCTAAATGTTCTGCATATCCAAGCGCTTTCGGCTGTTTTTTTAGTCATTATCAAGGACATTTTTATTTTATCATTTTTAACTGGATGTGTGATTTTTATGTATGTTTCTGAAGTTATAAGGAATGTCTTATTTTCCAAACAAAGTCAACATGTTCTGGCCGTGTTCATAGTTAATTTTATTGAGGTTTTGTTTTTGTTTTTAATTATTAGGGCTTTCGATTGCGTCTGTCGTCTCTGAGTATTGACTTCAATGTTCACTTTTATATTTACATACGCCCTATCTCAGATATTGAGCCCTTTATCCCATGAATAATCCACACCATAAAACTATATTTCTTCATATATATATATATATATATATATATATATATATATATATATATATATATATATATAAAATATATATATATTATATATATATATATATATATATATATATATATATATATATATATATATATATATATATATATATGTATATATATGTGTGTGTGTGTGTGTGTGTGTGTGTGTGTGTGTCTCTGTGTGTGTGTGTATTATCAATTTGTGACTGGTAGGGGAAATTCAAGGAAGATATTAACCCAAAGAGTTAGAGAGAGAGAGAGAGAGAGAGAGAGAGAGAGAGAGAGAATGGAGAGAAAAGAGAGATAGAGAGAGAGATAGCTCATTGACACAGAATAATAATAATAATAATAATAATAATAGTAATAATAATAATAATAAATCAAGAAGAAAAACTTAAAGATCCATTTCGGTTACAATCTATTTTGTGAATATTTCTATATATTCATCTCTTCAGATCGAAAGTTCCTAAAAATATTTTATTAAATTCTTTAAAAATCATTTTATTAAGTACTCTGAAGCGATGAATATATATATAAATATTAACGAAATAAATTATAGCCGAAATGGATCTTTAAAGTTTTCTTCTTGATTCATTATATATATATATATATATATATATATGTTTATATTTGATTTGTAACCTGTAGTCGATATTAAATTTGTCAAATTTTCTCAATTACACAGCGGCCCTTTCAGTAAATGTAGTTCAATTTTTCTTTCCTTCGCCCCATCTCACTCCCCCACCTCGTCTTTCCCTCCCTCTTATTCTGATCTTCAACATTTAAATCGTCTATGGTGTGTGTATGTCACCACGAAATGTATCTTTATGCATTAGACATCCGACAACATTCATATTTCTCTTACTTAAACCCCTTCCACTCACCTTTACTAAAATTCTCTGTTACGGTTTAATCTCCCCACTTCTCTAGTCTGTTACCCCTCATACTTACACTCTCTCTAATTCTGTTTTTATTTCCGGAGTTGTTTTTTTTTTGTTTTCTTTTTGAATTTGTAGGCCTGATGAATTGGATCGTATTGGCGATTCCAGTGGAATAAATTATGACCATGGAATATTAGTGTTTAAGCCTTTTTATTATATCCTTACTCTGTCCTGAACATTGAGTTCTACCTGGATTCTATCCTCTTGAATTTTTATTAAAAAAATATATATGTGTATGCTCCTATGTATATATATATATATATATATATATATATATATATATATATATATATATATATATTATATGTATGTATATATTTTACCACTAATATTATCTATCTATCTATCTATCTATCTATCTATATATATATATATATATATATATATATATATATATATATGTATTCAGCAAGTCAGTAAATGTTCAGTAGACTTATTGAACGCCTGCAGAGTTTCGCGTCAACTTTGCTTGTCAAGGTCAAATGATAGTAAAATTTATTTAAACTAATATCAGATTTCATAATAACAGTTCTGGACAAATACTGATCATACATTTGAAATTTGAAATTCTTATCACGTTAGACTTTCGGGAAAGACGTGACGGCATTTAAATTTTGAATCAGTTAAAATGTCAATTTTTATTTTATATGATTTTACTTCATTTTATCATCTCTATATTTAAGAATATCATCAGGAGCACGACAAGAAGGAAATGAGATCCCAAATCTATTTAAACTTTTCCTAGACTGTGCCTTGCGCGTTTACAAACACAGATTTAATAAGATGTACACTGATAATTTAAGTATTCCATACCGCATCCTAAATGAATCAACCGATAGAAGACAACGATCCTGCTTTCGTATCATATTAATTTAGTAAATACTAAACACTTCAAAGTTAGTTACGGAGAAAAGGAAAACATTAACCAGAAAACTGATTATTATTGCGCATTACGGAAACAGAAAGGAAGCCGTCAAAACCCTCACGTATCTTAAAAACAGAACTATGATGATGAGAGTATTAATAAACATTATATTAACGAGGCTCTCATCGCTTCATGAAGGTCAACACCTCATGACCCAGTTTGGTTTTCATTTTGGTAAGGGAAATAATGATGGTATATATGCCATCAAACAAGCTCAATAAATTGCTTACGTCTCTAATAGGAAACTGTATACCTGTTTTTTCGACCTCACAACAGCATATGACCTCATCAATAGGAACTTCCTTTTCTCAATCAATTAGAAACCAGCTTCCAACCTCTGAATCTGATGTATCGATCTAATAGAAGAACTGTTTCAATCTATAA